GAGGTAAGCTTTCCTGGATTAAAACGCACTCAACGGCTCTCCTATCTGGTGGATATGCATTTATGAACCCAAAAGAGACAGGACGGCCAAGCCAGAAGCAAAGTTAAGAGCCACATCTTTTCCCCTAAAGCAAGCAAGACTGTGGGAAAGATGGTGGACCCCCACAGGAGCAATACAGCTTAGAAATTAGAACCCCCAGCTGCCTCCTGCCTGTCTATCTGTTTAGTCAAAGCTGAGAGAGAGGTGGGCTCATTCTCTAATTAAATTTGGGGGTAGCCAGTGGCTGAGGGAGACTGCAGTGGAACAGCCTTGCTCCAGAGTCCCTCATTGGAAATACTACTTGGACAGAACTTCCATGTGTCCCCACCACGCCAGCCTAGGAAACAGCCTCTCCAAGGGTTTCCCCGCACCTGGGCAGCTGGCTCACTGGCACAGGCCAGGCCTGTAAGACTCTGGGAGATGGAATGAGGGCTGAGGGACAGGGATCCAGCTCGGAGCCTGGGTGTTCTGGGTCTGTGGGTCAGAAGCCAGAGGCCCCTGCAGGGAAAACGGGAGTTCCGGAAGCATCCAGGTTCTAGGCCGCTCTGGGCTTGAATCATGGTGGGTCTGCATGGCCTTGGGTATGTGACTTCTCTGAGTTCAGTGGGCACATTGAAAAATGGGGTTATCCACTCTCCACATAGGCTGCCCAGAAGTTTGGATGGCACAGTGTGCGTCTACTTGGCACACCACACAGCACCTGGCATGCCACTGTCTCTTGGACATCCTTCTTTATCATGGAGTTGAGCGGCCAGGCAGCGGTGGTGCCAGGGTAAGCAGAGTGAGGCCCCAAGCTCAAGGGAAGACAGGAGTACTGGTCGATCTGTCTCCTCCTACCCCTAACTTCTATGCCCAGATGGTTGCTTATCTGGCTGTCTTTAAACCTCCAGAAGCCTCCAATCAGTGAGGGGGAGGTGGAGTAAAGGTCCACAGCTCAAAGGTTAAGAAAAAACTCCACCAGTTCAAGCCTGCCTGACATTTACAGCCAGACGCATAAAAACTTTTCTGAACACCCCCTTCCACAAAAGATATGTCTGCAGACTAAGGGACAAATTCTTGTTCCCAGTCCTCTAAGAGTTAGTTAAAAATACTGAGTCCCAACCCACTGGCACACACCACTACCTCAGCATCACCCTTTCTCATATTAAAGCTCTAGTTAAAAAAGAGTGCTTAGCGGCCTCCCTGGAGGTGCAGGGGTTAAAGTCTCAGCACTATCAAGCTATCACCAGCGGCTGAGGCATGGCATGAGTTCGATTCCAGCCAGGGAGCTGACCCACATGGAGCAGCAGACCTCTCCTGTCTCGCCCACTGCTCCCCTCAGCAGCATATTTCAGTAGATCTGCCTGTTCTACTCCCCACTCTGTCTCTGGTGAATCCTCTCAACCCCTGCACCTCTGGCCTACACTCCTGTTCTTGTATGATAAATTAAAAAATAATAATAATAAATGTTAAAAAAAAAAGTGCTTAAATTAAAAAAAACAAATCATCCATAGGAGATGTTCCCTAAGAGGGATGTAGCCCAGGCTATACATGTCTGTGCCACTGTGTGACCTTAGGCAAATTACTTTACCTCTCTGTGCCATGGAGCACAGAGGTGGATGTACTAGACCTACTAGATCTTTATGAGGTGGATGTACTAGACCTATGTTCCAATTTTAAGTTCCATGGTTGGGCTTTAGATGTACATGGACCTCTTTAGGATCAGTAATGCAGATGTCATCCCAGAAGGGAACTGGAAGCAGAGGGCCAAATGTAGAGAGGGGATGTTACCATTGTACCTATTCCTTTTGGATCTTTTAAATTTTGAACCAAAGGAATGTATTATCTATTCAAAATAAATACATAAATTTTACATTAAAAGGAAAGAAAATGTATGCAAATCCATGTGGTGGAGGGCACCTGTGTCTCTGATCTCAAAAAGGTATACAAAGCATTTCACTAGGTGACCTTCAGGGTCATTCCCAATTTCCTTGATTTGACAAAGTATTAGAGAAAACAAAAGTGAGTTTCGGTACTCTTTCCATTGGCAGCTGGGTTGGACACATGAAAATTCACCCCGGAATCTTGTATTTAACAACACAGATGCGCACGCCCGGAGGAACCCCTGGTCCTGTGGATGCACAGACATGTGTGGAGGCACAACTGGGCATGGTAGATCTGCTGGTGCAGCTCTCAGAAGTCAAGGTCAAAAAATGACCCCTGTCAGCCTGTTTTCTCAAAGCTGTTGAATTAAGCCTCCCAAGCCCACTTAAAGAAGCGTCTGCTTAGATTAGCTGTACAAACCATTCATGTAAACAAATACAGTGTGGATCTTAATGTTGGCCACCTTGGCTCTGCAGGGGAAGAGTGAGAAGGAAAGACTATGGAGGAGTGGGGAGGTCCAGGGTGAGCCTGAGGTGAAGGAAGCCTAGGCTCATCCCCCCTCCCTCTGAAGCTCTCAACCCCCAGAATCCTGAGTGCTGGAGAGGAAAACGCTTCCTAGGTGTGCAGTGTGCAGAACTTCAGGGGAGGGGAATCCTGCTGAGGGATCCAAGCAAGACTTGTTAAGGCAACCAGAGCGGCAGCTGACTGGCTCAGAGGAAAAAGATCCCAGGATTCCAAAAAGAAAGAAAGGAGAGTGGCCATTTAACAAATAGCCCCTGGCTACGGTAAACTTTAATTAACTGAACCATTATAATTCACTTCCAGTCTGAGCTCCACAGATCCGCTCTCCCTCCCTCTCCCACCCTCCCCTCCCCCTGGTCTCATCAAGGCAGGCTTCCTTCGTGAAACCAACTGGCCGCCTTTGCTGGATGCCTCATTATTACAGCTGCTGCTTCTCCTGCTAATAATGCACCCAGCAACAAGAAGGGGGAGAAAAGGACACTGTTCTCAGCTATTAATGACAGGCCCCTTTCCTACCTACGTGCACATAATCATAAAAGTTGCTGAATGGAATATTATTGCAATGACGAGACAGTTACAGCCAGCAGGAGCCGATAGACAACCAGGCAGGTAACAGGACCCACCCACTCCCACTTGGAGCCCCCAAGGGGTACTCATAGGCTCCACACCTGGACAGGTAATCCATACCCAAGTTCACATGCACAGTCCGTGCTGTGGCTGCAATCCTGCTCTTTCATTCCATGGTTGTTAAATACCTGTGACCCTCCATCTCCGTATTCTCAGGCTGCTGAGCTTTACCCATTTTAAGATTGTCTGGGTTGGGAGTGGGGGTTGGGAGCACCTTAGAGGATCTTCCAGGCAAAACATGCTTGGTTTTTATTAATGAGCTTATAAGAAAAGTCAACCCAGACCTTTAAGGGAAATGTGTGATTGGTAGCCAGGCAAGGATGGGTTTTAGAATTAACTCTTCCTACAGTCTGCTATGCATTATCACCCCCAAGTTAATTACCCCTGAGGATGAAAATAGGTTTCATGACTCATAAGCACCAATACAACACTTGGCAGCAGATGAAAATGCAAGGACACATTTGCAGGAAGCTGACACGCATATCTATTTATATGTGGGGAGATTCTTAAAGAGGTGAGACAGGCGCCTCCCATGTACCAGGATTAAGAGGCTGTAGCGGAGCCATCAATTGCCATTTATCCACACCTCTGAACACACACACACACACACACACACACACACACACATACACACACACAGAGTCATGGTTTCCACTACTTCCATGATGGTGGTGGCAAAGCAGCAACAGAAACTAAAAGGGTGTTATTAACAGCAAGTCCCAACACCAACCCAACCTTCCACCAGTGTTCTGGGCTAACTGGTGATTTGCTTTTTCCCAAACGTGCCTGTGCCCATACCCACCTCCCTACCCTCATGCTCCCTCTTTGATGGGAGTTAGATGGGGGATGCCAAGAGTTTGGCCTTTTTTGATTTTCTGGTCCCCAGGCCGTGGTGGAGACCGCCCTGGCCCACCTTGCACCGACCAAGAATGGGGTGTGGCCAAGAATGAATTTCAGATAGGATCTCTAGTTCTGTTTTGCTTCCTCCCTCCTGTTTTCTACTCTTCTTCCATTTGCCTCCAGGAAAGTACAAGGTTCAAATCAGGTTTGTTTGCCTTCTCCCAGCTCAGGGAGGGATTCAGTCTGGTCTCAGCCCAGGGAGCACAGCGCTCTCAAGACTAATTCAGTCCCGTGTCCCCTTCCCTGTTCCTCTGTACTTCACACATGCTGTCAAAAAGTTGATTTGGTGAATATTACATTTCTTCACCAGTGGGAATGGGTTTTATTAGGTGTCATGAGTGACCTCTGCCTCAGGAACTGGGCTGTTTTTTTTTTTCTCTTGCCCATTCTCTGCAACTATCGACCAACAAGCCAAGTGTCCTACCTTCAGACATACTTATCAAAAAGGGAGGAGGGGTATGTGTAATGAGTGAGGTGCATCCGTTGGCTGCAGGGACTCTTCTGGCTGAGTGTACCTGCCATTTATTTCTCAGTTGCCCACTTCCTCCAGCCTCCACTGACAGTTCCCAAGTGCTGTGACATTTTGCTTTAAATGTGCAGTAACCGTGATGTCTGCCGCACCCAAGAGGCAAAGTACTCTGGTTTGAGGGAGTGAGGGGTGTCTTCCACTTGCACAAGTCACAGCTGTATTGGGTATCAGCATATACACATGGCCACAGGGCCAGGCACCAAAAAGCATTCCTTGACGATGCCATTTGCAGCTGGGGCTGCATCCAGAAGAGATGCTGAAGAGTAAACAGAATTGCTTAGTCAGCAACTGCCCTGCCCCCAAGAGGTAAATGCAAACAGCCTGGTCCTGAGGGGGTGGGGCGGGCAGGCAGGCAGGCAGGCAGGCAGGCTGGTGCAAGGGCCTTACACAGATGCCATCTCCCCAGGTTGTCAAAGGTATTAGCACTGGTTTTCTATGTTGGAAGCAGGGCAGGTGTCCCCCATGTTGGAGCCCTGTGACCTTAGCCCTAGAAAAACAAACTTACTGACTCGGAGCAGAATTAATAGCAATTGAATTTATTACAAGTTACTAAGCTCCAAGGCACATTACAGTGTTCTGTTAAACTACAGAAATGTAGAAAGGACAAACAGAGCAGATTCTCCATGTCTAGCATTTCGCTCTACTGTTCAAAAGCATCCGTGCATCAAGAAAGCAAAAACGAAACAACACATGAAGACCCAACACATTCAGGTCAGTGGAAACAAACCAAAACATTTCCCTCACAAACTTGCAACAGAAAACACCCGCCCCCCCAACACCCCTCTTACCATTTTGCAAACATAACAGAAAAACAAAACAAAACAGAACAGAACAAAATAAAGTGAAGACTTTAACACTTGGGGCTGTTCAGAAGGAAGCTTTCACCATTTTTATAGCATCATTTTTTTCTTAGGCAGCAACACTGGCCTTGGCAAAAAAAAAAAAAAAAAAAAAAGTCATTTTCTTTTGTGTGTGTTTTTTTCCTTTCAAAGAGTGCATAACATTTACAAAAATACACACCAGCAGCAGTCGTTGCTAAGGGCTATTAATTCTGTACCTAGGCAAACACTGCCACCAAATAAATGCTAACGAATATGATGCAAATGATCCAACCAATATTATACTGCTTAACACAAACCAGCTTATCCTTCAAATAAAGAAGTTACATACCTTTGTTTCAAAATATAGAAACATACCACGAAAATAATGTCTATACATAAGACTAACTTTTTGCAGTTTGATATATTCACAATTCTACATCTTGGGGGTGAGGGGAGGGAGGCCCCAGCTGGGTAGGGTAGGGGCCCTCTGGGTGGGCGAGGAGCAGGTCTGGGGCAGAGGCGGTTCAAGGGTCTCTCTCCTTTTTCACCTTGACATCCCCAGCTAAGATAGTCGCGATTTCCCCCTGCATGAAAGCCCAAGGTACATTCGACCCGACTAGGGGGCATTTCTCCCCGCTGGGGCAGTAAACCTCGCCGGTAGCCCCCTGGGCCTTGATGCTCTCTCTGGAGCAAGGGAAGCAGAATTTGTGGCTGGGGACGGATGGGCACTGCACGAAATGTGTGTCCTCCAAACGTTCGTGGCAAATGGTACAGCAGAGGGGCCCGCTGTTGGCCATGGGGGAATCTGGAATGTTTTGGGGGTGTACTTGGTCCATGCCCGGGTGGGTGCTAGGCGGCGGAGGTGCCACCTGTAAATTCAGGTCCCCGTTCCGTGATGCCAAGCGGCGCTGCCCCGGCACCGAGGCGGGCGACACCGGGCTGCTGCTGTTGCGCCGCGCGGACGCGGTGGTGGAGTGCACGGAGCTGCCGTCCTTGGGCGAGTGCGCCGTGCCCAGAGTGTCTGCCACCGACATGAGGGCGGCCATGGGGGACGGGCCGTTCTGAGGGGCTGACTCGGGCGGGGTGGTCCGATTGGAATGGGGTCCCAGGGGTGGGGGCGGCGGGGGCGGGCCTCCGGCCGCATGCCCCGGCGCCGCAAAGCCCCCGGCCGACATGGTGAGCTTCAGCGCCTCGCTCTGGTTCGCCATCCACTGCTGCCTCTGCTGCTCCTCGCCCAGCTTCAGCGCGCCCTCGGCCGAGTCCGGGGGTTCGGGGGACGCCTTCCTCTTGCGCAGGCTGGCGGCTGCGCCCCGGCCCGAGGCGGCCGCGGGCGGCAGGGCTCCGGTCCCGGGGGGCGCGCTCGGGGCGCGGCTCAGACTCACCAGCGCTGTGGGCAGCATGGGGCAGTTGGAGTCCAGGTAGGGCTGGGGGAGCATGTCGGCGCCGGGCACGCCCTCCTTGAAGAAGCGCACGGCCTCGGGCAGCAGATCCCCGAGCAGGCGCCAGTCTCCGGAGCCGTGCTTCTTCTCGTACTCCAGATACTTGAACCCGGAGGAGAGCCCCCGGCCAAAGTCCTTCATGCAGTCCTGGTACATCTGCTTGGCCACCCCCGACGCGCTGGAGTACACGTTGCCCGAGCCCGTGGGGTACTCGATGAACAGCTTCAGCTCGTAGTCCATGCCGGGCTTGGACACGGCGTCGAAGGCGAAGACGCGGCCCAGCAGCGAGTGGTCCTTCTTGAAGCGCACCTCGTAGGGCGTGCAGCCGGCCAGCGTGAGCAGCGTGTCGCGCACCATCTTGGGCTTGCTGGCCCACTCCTCGGCGCGGTTGCGCAGGCTCTCGCTCAGCTCCGCCAGGGCCTCGGCGTTGCGCTGCTTCTCCTTCAGCTCGCGCTCCTGGTCGGTGCTCGACACCGAGCCGGGCCTCTTGCCACCGGCGCCCACGCCCACCTCGGCCACCGACGACGAGGTCGACGACGCCGCGGAGGACGAGGCGGCCGCGACGCCCGGGGTGCCGCCGAGGCACGCGGGGCCGCCGGGGGCTCCCGGGGGCGCCGGCGTCGGGGGCCCGCGACCGCTCAGGCCGTGCGGGGGCGGCGGGGGCAGCACGGCGGCGCCGGCCGGGCCGTTAAGCAGCGTCTGCGGCAGCAGGTTGGGGGGCACGGCGAGCTGGGGGCCGCCCCCGCCCCGGGGTTGGGCAGCCCGGTCACCAGCCCCCCGTGCGCCCCGCGCCGGGACGCCACCGACGCCGCCGCCGAGGACGAGTTGGGGCTCTGGCGGTTCAGCTCCGGCGGGCCCTCCTCGGGCGCGGGCTTGGGGAAGCCGTTGGGGCCCCCCAGCCCGTTGGGCAGCCGCGCGGCGTGGCTGCTGCTCCCCAGGCTCACCGGGGGCGGCGGGTACTCGAAGCGGCTGCGCTGCTCCACCGCGGCGGCGGCTGCGGCGGCGGCCGCGGCCGCGCTCAGGCCGTAGCGCTCCAGGCCGGACGGGGCCGCCAGCACCGCGGGCTTGCCGGCGCCATCGACGTGGTTGAGCTGCTGCTGCTGTTGCTGCTGCTGCTGCTGCTGCTGCGCGGCCGCCGCTGCAGCCGCGGCCGCGGCCGCCGCCTCCTTGGCCGACAGGGCCACCGTCTTGACCCCCACGGGCGGCGGCGGCCCGGGAGAGCGGCCGTCCTGGAAGCAGCCGTGCGCCCGCTTCAGCTGGCGCGCCGTCTCGATCACGAACTCGATGCGGTCCGCGCCCTCGTAGTTGACGCAGCCGCGGCAGACGGGCTCCGAGAAGTCCCAGATCATGGCCCAGGGCATGCGGGGCAGGTCGCACAGGTAGCAGGACTGTCTCCGGGACGAGGACACCTGCGCCGCCGACATGATGCCGGCCCCGCGGCCGGCCGGCCCCCGCCCGGGCGGCCTCCGCGGCGCCTGCTCCTCCGGGGCGGCCGGCGGGCTGGGGCGGGCGTCCGGCCGCGGGGGGAGGAGGGGGGCGAGGAAGTTGCGCCCCGGCGGCCGCGCCGCGCCTCTCCGCGGGGGGCCTCCGCCGGGCTAGTCGCTCCGCGCGGGGCTCGCGCCCGTCGCCTCCCGCGGCGGCCCCGGCGGGGCGGGCGTCCCGGCGCCTTCTTCCTGGAGCCGCGGCCCCGGGCTGGCCGGCGCGGGCCCGGGGGGAGGGGGCGGGGGTGCCCGGCGCGGGCGGCCGCCGGCGCTCGGCCCCCTCCCCGGCACGGCCGGCGCGCGGAAGCCTGAGGGGGGCCGGGCCGTCCTCTCCCGCGAGGGGCCCCCCACGAGCGCCGTCCTCTGCCCGCCGGGCTCGGCGCCCCGGGTCCGGTCTCGCTGGCGCCGCTGGTCCCCGGAGGGCCGGGGCCGGAGGGCGCGGCGGCCGCGAGGCGCGTCTCCCCTCAGCGGCAACGGCCGTTCGGCGGCGGGCGGCGGGCGGCGCGGCCGGAGGAGCCGGCAGGACGCGCGCGAGCCGGGCGGCGGGGCGCGCGCTCGCAGGCTCCGGCCGCCCCGGGCCGCGCGGCGCTCACGTCGGCGGCAGGGCGCTCCCGCGGCGCCGCGGCCCGGGCCGCATCCCTTCGCGCTCGCCTCGCCGGGAATGTGGGGTTGTGATTGTTACGCTACGTTCCGGAGGCGCGTCTCGGCGCTCGCGCTGCGGCTCGCGCTGTCCCCGGCTCGGCCGCGCGGGATGCCGCCCGGGCGGAGCGCTGACGTCACCGCCGCGCGCGGCCCGGCCCCGCCCCTTTACACTTCCTCTGTCTGCGGCGCCCACTTGTTGCTGCGGCGCGGCGCATGCGCGGCGGGGCGCCCGGATTCCTCCCCGCCGGCCCCTCCCCCGCGCCGCCGCCCGCCCCTCCCCCGCGCCGCGTGTGGACGACAGCTGAGGCCCGGCCGGCGGGGGCCGCGAGGCCGGGCCGGGGGTGGAAATTCAGCAGACCGTGACCTTTGCTTCCCCGCCCGACCCCCCCACGAGTCAAAACGCAGTGAAAAATCACAAACGTCGTTTCCGATCCCGCTCCCCCCCAGCCCCCCCAGGCAGTGCATTTAAATGTCCTGTCTCCGAGGTTTTCGTGGTAAATTGCACGTTGGGTATTACCCGTTTCATCATCCGCGATCAAACCTCCCCGCCCCTGCTATGGCGCTTGCACGCGCTGCCCCCGCCGATGCCGAAGCACCTGCAAAATTAGCTGCTTTCCACGTCTTCCCGAAACTGCCATTGCGATTTGTTGTCGAGCCTTGGTCTAAGAGCCCGAATTTCAGCGACGGAGCTCAATGAATTCAGGGCGAGCTCCTCCTCCCCCCGGCTGCACTCTAAACATTTTGGCTAGATCTCCAAAGAAGCTACGAGCACCCGGAGGCCTGTAAGGAAAACAGTCTACTGGCGGCGCACAGCTGCAGTGGGGGGCAGGGAGGGGAGGTGCTGAGAGGCCAAACAGGTGAGTGGTTTTTCCAGGCTTGATGAAAGGAGGTAGAGGCAGTGTTTTAATAATAGTGATAGCTCTTTTTAAGGCACTGCCGCAGTTTTCGAACTTCTGTCTCACGTGCTGTGATTTCCTTCCATAGTGCCCTGCAAGGAGCAAGACCTTCCTTTCTTCTGGCTTACAAGATTACTTGCTGCTCATCGTGATTGCTTACTGCAGAACAGATATGTGGGGCATAGCTCTGGGGGGGGGGGGCATTTCAACTGATTCTTCCAAGTATTGGGCCTGCCTCCCCGCACCCCGCACCCCTCAAAGAAAATTGAGATAACCCTGGGCAGGGCTGAAGAAGAAGGGAAGTAGAATGGGATTGCAGGTTCTGGCAGACCAGGTTGAAATTTCCTCTCCCTTACTGGTTTTGTGACCTTGAGCTGGTTACTTACCCTCACACAACCTCTCTGTTTCCCATCTGTTCAACGGGATCATAGCTTCGAACTTACTAGCGTTTGAGATTTCATTTTGTTTCTTGTCATAAAGGGAGGTAACTCACTGAGACCTGCCATGGGACAGACTGCTTGGTGGTTCATTTGCATCATTATTAATCCACAATATTATCTACAAGGTAGATTCTATTATTTACTGTTCTACGGGCTAGGAAATGAGGGTAAATAAATTGCCCAAAGGTCACATGGCCATTAAAGATGGAGCTAGGGTCAGAATGAAGTAAATCTGAGTTGGGAGTTGACTTTGACAATCTTAGGCCTTCAGAGGTGATTTGGGATGCACAACATTTCCATCAGCTACTCCCACCCCCCCCCCATTCTTTGTTACATATCAATACAACCTCTTGGAATGTGTTTTGCAAATACACCTTCTTAACCAACTCTCATCCTACCTTTCCAAACAGATTGTACCACTGAGTTCTTCCATATTCAGAAACTTTGGATCTGTCACTGCCTCAGCCCTGTGCTATACGTGAACACAGTGTCAGGCTCACAGGAAGCCATCAGTAAGTGCTGGTTATTGTTATTGATATTAATATTGGCGCTATTGCTACCCTGTGAATGCACTTTGTAAATTGCATAAAACTAAGGATCATTATTCTTATCACTATTACTACTAATTGTAATAAAGTTGAGGTAAAGCAACAGGAAGTTTTTGTTTTTATTTTGACACTTAACCTTCAGAGCCTATTCCCCCCCATCAGCAACTTCCCTTTCCCCCAGCACTACCTCTTCCACCCATGTGCAGGCCCTTGGTTAAAGGGAGTTTTTTGGATGGGGAGCATGGGGAAAGGAAGAGCCCTATGGCGCCCCTCTTTCATCTCAAAGCAGCCAGTTTCTCTGTTTTTGCAAAACAGTGAGCTCACTGTGCACTCCCCAACAATAATAAACTTTCCCTGGCCCGCTGGCTCCCGGCAGTGATTCCTCTGTGAAGAGCTGCTGGGAGCACTGCCTCACCCTTCCAGACTCCAGCCCTCCCACACCACAGCTATCCTGGAGTGAGTCAAAACATAGTGCTGGGAAGCGGTGTGACATCCCCACCAACCCCGGGCTTGGGGCTGGCCGTTCGCTTTGACTCGGCTGGTTAACCCATGTCTTTACATTAGTATTTATTCAGCTTGTCCCTATATTAAAGCACAAATGTGGACGAATAGCAGTTCAGCCTCAACGCTCCAGCCTGACTGCTAGAGACAGCAAGTTGGGTTCTTTGCCATAGTGTTATGTTTGGTATGCGCTCACATATGTCTCCATCTCCTTGTCTGTCTGTGTCTTTGCTGTTGCTACAGAAGAGATACACATACACATACATGCTGGGGGCCTTCAGACACACTGAGTTCACGATAAACATACATTTAAACAAATTTCCGTTAGCTTCGCTCTCTTGATTTGCTCACCTTCTTCCCCACAGAGAATCACCATCATTTATGGTGATAAATTTTGTCTTTCCCTGGAGTTGGCCCTTTTGGGGCTGGGTCAGGGATTTTGAGAGGCAAGAATACTAGTGTTTTGGAGATACGTTTCCCCCAAAGGACAATCTCATTTGACCATATTTCCACCACAATGGAAAGGAGCTGGTCAAGGATAGGGGGAGCAACCAAAGCCTCCTTGGAGAGACTAAGAGATCTCCGGCCACTTGGTCTGGGAGAGGAGCAGAACCAGGCTGAATCATGTGAAAGAAAAATGTACAAAGCTCCTCTGAGCCTGCCACCCGAGCAGGCATCTGTTTGCTCCTGCTAAACAGAGCAAAAGTCAGCTATCCACTTGGCCTTCCCCGGGAGGCCCCAGGCCCTGCCTTGAAGGTGAGCACAGGCGCTCTTGAAAGCTCCCTGCAGCCTCCCACCTGTCCTGCACCACACACCCTGATGTTTTGTGACAGAGATGGGGTGCGCGGGGTACTCTTTGGCCTGGCATTCCCGCAGCCAGCTGGCTTGGTCCTCGAGGAGGAGGCCTGGGCTGAACCTCGGCCATCCAACTGCAGCCAAGCACTCCAGCAAGAGAAAGGCCTTTTTTGGTAACAGCGCTGCGGTGAGCAGGTCCCTGTTCTTCGGCCCGGCCCTCTGGAGTCCTATCAGAGCAAGTTGAAAGCAAATGCCCAGCTTCCCCGAGGCCATCATCCGGGCGCTCCCAGAGCCCCAAGGACACGACCTGGGCCGGTCCGCAGAGACAGCCAAGGGGCCCTCGCGCTGGGGGGCCTCGAGGCTGCAATGGTGATTTACACTTTGACTCCAGCGCCGGTTCCGCGGCGGAAGTATTTGCCTTTTCTTAAAGGATTAATCCTGGTATTTAATAATAATAATAATAAAGTCTTAACGTAGGCCGGGGCATAGGGTTACGCAAGAGCCACTCGAGCGTGAAATCCCAGGCACGACGCGATTCGCTGAGCACCCCGGGGGAGGGGAGCCCGCCCCGCCCGCCAAGACCTGCCCAGCCTGGGGCGCGCGGGCAGCCGCTCGCTCCGTGCAAAATTGGGTGGAAGCAAAAAGAGGACGTAGTGGTTGGTGCTGGCACAGCGGCCTCTGCGAGCGGCGGGACCGCTGACTGCTTTCTTCCTGAAGGGGCGGAGAGCAGGCAAGGGAAGAAAGGCGCGTCTGGTTCCTGCCCCTCCCGCTTCCTCTCCTCGCCCGCGTGCCAGGGCCAGGGGGAGCCCAGCGCTGCCCTCAGCGAAAGCTGGCGTGTGTGTGTTTTAGGTCCACAAATAAAGGAACCCTGGAATGAACCTCCTGGGGACCAGGCCTAGAGGGGTGGGGGAAAAGAGAAGCGCCAGACAAGGGTGCTATTCGCTGACCCGGTTGGGTTCACACAAACACCCACGCACACCCCAAGAAGGGGGGAGCAGGGCTGCAGGGCTGGCGGGCTTGGAGGACGCCAAGTGGGCGGTGAGCTTGGCCTGGGGCCGTCGAGGCCACAGGTGCGCGCAGCCCCGGGCGCTCCCCCCGCTCCCCGCGAGCGCCTGGACCTCGGCCGGGCCCGCGAGCCAGCGGGCTCCCA